TTTTTTTTATCGTGTGCATCGTTTTGTTTTTGCATTACAATTCTGTCATGTATCTGTAGATTGTGCCACTACAACTGAAACATTTGCAACTAAGTAATGCAACAAGAAGTCTCCACATATTGGTTCTACAAAGACCTGGCTAAAAGAGAGAGAAGCAGGTATCAGGGCTATGCTTTGGTTACTGCAGATCATGTGAAGACTCGCCTGCTGTTTTACACGATAACAGACTTGAAGGTCTTAGCTGTTGTTGGTTAGAGTATGTACTGAATTTATCAGTTGTTTTGTGGTAGAAATAAAGCCTTATGTTTACAGACATTTCTCAGTCCTGCAGACGACAGCAGGGCTCTTGTGTTCCTCAGGAGGACTGATAACTGCTGCTATTCTTTGGAGGAATCAATCAGTCAATCACTGTGACAGCTAGATAGCATGGGGGGGGGGGGGACTGTAATGACAGCAAATTACCTACACCAAATTTAGCCTGACCACTGTCATGCCTTTTTTTTTTTTTTTTGGCAATGTGTTTCTGCCTGCAGTAGCCAGGGATTTGAGCAGAAGTGTTGTCTGGGAGAGTAGCCTTTGTCCCAACTCAAACTCCAAGGGTCTCTGTAAGAACCACAAAGGCAGATGGGAACATATTTAATCACCTGTAATAGCTGAACATTTCAACTTGACCTATCTGTATCTTTTTCCCCTGCAAATAACTAAAACCTAGAGAAAAATATGTAAAGACATAAAGTGAAGTGTATATATAAATAGTTCACATTGAAGTGAAACACGACATGATTGAAAGACTTTCTATAGAGCTAGTTGCTGAACATTTCGTTTGGAGGATTGTTTTTTAGGGACGCTCAGCGACTTGCGATGTATGATCGATCAGTGTATTGCTGTGAAATGATTTGTCAGTGGGATGTTGATGTTTTCTGAATATTGTTGGGCTTCTGTTATTTGAACAACAAGCCTTCAATCATCTCTGTTACATTTTCACCGGCTCCTCTTTTTAAAGGAAATGAAGACCCTTCTTTAATGTTGATTATTGTTTTGCTACTGACATTTGTACACAACTTTCCGGTCTAAATGTTGATAGATTTACACTGAGCTCTCCAGAGCTGGTTTGTATTCTAAATCTTTGTTATGGTCTAATTCAATTCTTCTCTATACATATAAGCTTATACACAGGGTGGTCTTGTGTCATTGATTTTAATCATTGAAATTGCTGTGTACAAATAAAGGCAAATGAAGTTTGTGGAATCTGACTTTGTTCATGTGTAAAACTTAAATGAAGCCTTAAACATGTCATTAAACAGATTACTCTGGTTTTTCCCAAGAAGGTGGAAAAAATGATATTTTAATGGTAACATGGAATAAAGGGTGCATGGAAATGTGTCTGTGTCCACTTTTTTCTGTTTCAGTTTTGGATTAGTGTACTGCTCATGTTTTACTTTTTTTTTATATAGTTAAGCAGAAATCTTTCTGCACGATACATCTCCGATCAGTCTGGATAGTTTGGAACCATTTTAGGTAAGTGAAAGGAAAATGTTTCATATTATTACAGTTCATCTGCCTGGCCTTAATCAAACCTAACTTTCAGAAAACTAATGTTTAAAACATGATATTAAGTTTTCTGAAAAGAATTATCATATTTGATTTTGTTTACTTTGAAAGTTTACACACAAGCTAAACATTTTGAATGACAAGATGTGAGTGGGTAGATCATCCTCTTGATATGTCACGTGGAGAGGAGGCCACTTGTAAAGACAGCATGCACAATGTCTTTCCTGCCATCCATAAAGTATGGAGAGATGCTGACAGACTTTCAGCAGTTAGTATGTGAACATACACTTCATGCACTCTATAGTGGCAGCCGGAAGCTGGAGCTAAGTTGTATTTCACTTCTGTTAAAAAAATAAAAAAAAATAAAAAGTTTTTGAACAAATGTCTACATAACACATACCGGTAGGTCTGGTGAGTTATTATTGTCTTTGACATGATGTTACCTGAGTGTAAATAAACTTACAACCCCTGTAAATGAACCCCTAGCTGTTATGTGAAGTGATTTGACCAGTGTGAGTACAGATGTGGAAATTCTGCTTCCAGAAAGCTCAATGTTGTAAAATGTTATAAATCTGCTAAAAACTTGTGAAAACATTTTGAAAACTCTTCAGTCCCTTCACCAGAGGCCTCCTAAAACAAGAAGGTGAAAAAGAAAGCTTATTTTTCTTACAGGATTAAAGTTGTGGGGTTCAGTGTGATAGTCCCCTTAATCATCAGCATTGGCAGGTGATTCTCTTCCATGCTTTTTCTATATGCTAAATAGACATTTATGATCTATATGTGCCGTTGTAGCAGAGATTTGGTAATTTCCTTGTTAGCTGATTTTTTCTTTAAGCTGATTTCTATCCCTAGAATCTATACAACACTAGCTGAAAGTTCATGCAAATCAATTAATTTTGTAATAAATAAAAGTGAGTGTTATTTTGTCAGCTTGACCTACTGATCCAGATGTGGTTCAGTGTTCAATCCTTAGCTGTCACATGTCTTCAGCAAGACACTGAACCCCACACTCATGGTCAGCTAAATGTGTAGGAATGGATTTGTTAATACGGACACTTAACATGTAGCAGCAAGTAGTCAGCTATTTACCATCCAAATCAATTCTGGTTTAGTCAAATGAACATAATGTAACAAAAAAAAAAAAAGAATCTATTTTTCAATCTGCATAGTTTGATCTACTAGCGTTTGGCCGATATTTGACCATCAAAGCCCTCTTTCTTTCTCAGTCAGCATTTAATACATCCCATCCTCTCATTTCTTAAAAAATCTAAAGTTCATAGAGAAACAAAAACAGCAATCCTAAAAGTCATTCCCAAAGATTTGGACAATGGGAAAAAATGTAATTGCCAAGATAATTGATACATGTAACACTTGTTTGGTGCAGGATTAAACAGTCAATACAACAGTGGACAAGCAAGGTAGTGCCTTTGTTTCTTCCTTTCTCACAAATGTGGAACATGAAACAGTCTGTTGGAGAGCTTCAAGCACTAAAACTACATTATAAAAACATTAAACATATGGTAATGTGATTCAAAAAGTAACTCAATGCTTCAAATAAGATTCTGAACCATCCATAAAGCAGACCATCACACCATGCAGACTTTTACAAGCACTCTACCTCACTAAAATCAGTTGCTGTGGAATTGGTTTAAATTGGAGTTAGTTAACCCCCCCCTCCCCTAAAAAAAAGTGTCACAGATATTGAGACTGCCCTTTGACAGCAACAGTCAATTCAGCAAATCCCCAAAAATGCACTGTTGGTTTATGACAGCTCTCTCTAGCAGCCAAAGTGATTTTGAGTTTTGTCCGTCTGGAGCCAAGATGGAATTCAGGTGACATGATTATAGAACAACAAATTTCACGGAGAGGGGGCGATCAAAGAACTGAACTACAAAGCATGTTCAACATACTGCAGATCTCTTTTTGTTGTATAAGTTCATTAAGAAAAAATACATGATCAAGCAAAGCTTTCAAACAAAACATTTGGAAAGACTACAGAGGATTTCCTGATACGAGCTTTATTTATATAAATAATATAATATGTATATATATATATATATTTATATATATATATATATATATAGCTTTACAGAGTGCAACCTGTTTGCAGCTTATAACAAAGCTAACATAATAAATACATAAAAGTCTCTGAACAGTCTTCCTGTATGTATCTCAAGTAAGCTCTTTGGACAAAAGTGAATGGTTATTGGGTGGTACACAGGTTGCAGCTAATGTGTTCATCATAAGTTACAATGGAAACTCACCCCGTTTAGAATTGATCTACAGTTCTGTCACAGGCCTCCACTAGCTCTGCTGTTTGAGCAAAGATTTAATGACCATCCAGATTTTGTTCAGAAACAACCAGAGAATACAGGAGCTACAGTATACAACCCTTGTATGCAATACTCTTATTCCATTGAGATTTCTCAAGCTTCTTTGAAATGTAGAAGCTGCCAGATGCTGGGCCTCTTCTGGTCTCTCTGAACACTGAGAAACTTCTCATCATATTTTCTCTTAGATTGTTTTGGGAGGGCTGCTTTTGTGCCTTTATTTGAGAGACAGGTCAGTCGATAGAGGAAGTGAGGGAGCGAAAGAGTGGGTAGTGACATGCAGGAAAGAGGATTCCTCTGTACAGGCGCACAAACTAATCCCTCAAACAACAGCCCTCCACATTTCATCATCATATGTTTCCTTTTATCGTCCTTGAACTACCTGATTCTTGATTTTTCTTTGAATACCACTCCTTGATTATCCAGTTTGTTTGCTGAATTCCCTTTGTGAGTGGCTTTGCTAGTGCAAAATCATGATCCTGTCAGGGAAAATCCATGAAAAGTCAGATATGAAATGGAATGATGTGATTGAAAGTTTGTTTTACACCAAAACAACAAATACAATGTTGGCCTAAGTTTTGAAAACCCCGGGTTAAATCACAAGTTAACCCTCTAACCCAGGATCTTTTTTGCAGTAAAGGCCTCCAGGTGGATGGGTGCAGGTAAACGAATACCAGACAATAACTTTTCTTTTCTGCCTTGTTAAACTTTACTCCTAAGCTGTAAAGCTTGGAAATGTGAAAAAGACAAATCATAAAACAAGTCTAATCTAAAGTTGAAAGACAATTAGTTGGTTCACTATTTCCCAACAACATTTTAATTTAAAGGATGGATGATAAAATTAAAAAAAATTAGTAAATGAAACCATTAATTACAAAAAAGATTCCCTGCTTAAAACTCAATATTTAGTTTTTCATGTTTAGTCTTTGACGACTTATTCAATTTTTTTGGTTTTGTCTTGTTTTGTTTTTTTGTTTACCTCAGCTGGCTTGTAAAAAAAAAAGTCAAGTGACGCACACATACACACACACACACACATACACACACGCGCACACACACGGTGGGCGTGTCCATGCTCCAGCTGGAGTAGAAAGAGGCGGCGCTGCACTGAACGGACAGAGCTCGGCCGTGTCTCTGTGCGCAGACACACCGGCTCATAGATAATCAACGCTTCCCTCCATCAATGCACAGCTCCGAGCTCCGCGCCCCACGACCTCCGGGATAGCCGTGGACTTCATGCTGCAGCTCGGTAGGTGTCAGTTGGTTCCATACTGTGGGTGTGTCGTGTGTTTGTTGATACTGTTGTGCATCCTGACCGGGTATCTCAGGCTGTGATGTGGCCCCCTACGAGCCACAGGTGTGTTTAGGTAATGGCAAGAAGCGCGGGCGGTGGGTGCTGGCTGGAGATTGTGTGTGTGTGTGTGTGTGTGTGTGTGTGTGTGGTGTGTGTGTGTGTGTGTGTGTGTGTGTGTGTGTGTGTGGGGGGGGGGGTGAGATTGTGCTTCATGTTGTGACAGAGGATGGAGAGTGTCGCTCCTGGTTTAATATGGTCAGCGTGTGGGTGCGAGTGACGCCGAGTGACCTGTCACGACTCCGCCGGCATGTAGGTGTTCCCCTTTTTAGCAGACGGTCCAGCCGAAGTGGATGTGTCAATACTAAAGCATATTAACAGTGGATCTTCTTAGGAGCACCGTCATACTCAGTGAAGGATCACTGGTGTTGTGTTCTCACTCACCTCAAGATGTTGCTAAAACTCTGGTTTTTGAAAGAAATAAGCCACGTGTATAGACTGACGTGCATATGGATAAGAGGTTGCGATGTGTGCTGACGGAAGATTGTTTCAGATTGGAACACTTCCCTCTTCCTTTCACCACAGATTTGAGCTGCAGTCGCGGGTTTCCTTCTCCTCCTCTTGATGAATGGTGCGCACTGTTCTGCGCTACTAGTCCTATATGATGCTGTTTAACTCCAGAAGAAATAAACATGAACCCAGAGATAGACCTAACCAATGTGTTGCCCTGGGCAAAATTTCAGCTGGTGCCCCTTGTTTTCTGCCATTTCCACCACCAATCACAATATTCATACACTTTACGTTTTACAGAAAATACCTTTGAACAAACATTAATAAATGGTAATTACATTCATATTAATATTTTCATGAATTTAATCTAAAATTCAATTCTGGCTGTGTAATTGCACAGTCTGGAACATTCTGATTTCAAGTTTTGGAGGATAGTTCGAAAAAGTTGCAATGTCTGCTCAAGATAATTTAGTTTCACTACAGACTATTGTGTGAATGTTAAACCATAGACCCTATTGTGATTTTTTTAAACTATGATCATTTAAAACATTATCGGCATGTAACGTCATTGAACTTGTAAATAACGATCTGGAGTGTGATCTCACTGAAGCGCTCTACATTTCTTTAGAAGAACAGCTGTGAAAAGGAGGGGAGGGGTTGAGGAGTCGGGTATGGCTGCAGCCAGGCGACCTCGTCTCATCTCTCTTCTCATGTCCTCTCTTCTCATGTCCTCTCTTCTCGTGTCCTCTCTTCTCATGCCCTCTCTTCTCATGCCCTCTCTTCTCATGCCCTCTCTTCTCATGCCCTCTCTTCTCATGCCCTTTCGCCTCATGCTCTCTTGTCTCATACCCTCCCTCTCTTCTCATGCTCTCCTGTCTCATACCCTCCCTCTCGTCTCATGCCGTCTTCTCATGCCCTCTCTTCTCATGTCCTCTTGTCTCATGCCCTCTCTTCTCATGCCCTCTCTTCTTATGTCCTCTCGTCTCATGCCCTCTCTTCTCATGCCCTCTCGTCTCATGTCCTCTCTTCTCATGTCCTCTCTTCTCATGCTCTCTTGTCTCATACCCTCTCTTCTCATGTCCTCTCGTCTCATGCCCTCTCTTCTCATGCCCTCTCTTCTCATGTCCTCTCGTCTCATGCCCTCTCTTCTCATGCCCTCTCTTCTCATGTCTCTCGTCTCATGCCCTCTCTTCTCATGCCCTCTTCTCATGCCCTGTCTTCTCATGCCCTCTCGTCTCATGCCCTCTCGTCTCATGCCCTCTCGTCTCATGCCCTCTCTTCTCATGCCCTCTCGTCTCATGCCCTCTCTTCTCATGTCCTCTCGTCTCATGCCCTCTCTTCTCATGCCCTCTCGTCTCATGCCCTCTCTTCTCATACCCTCCTGCTCTTCTCATGTCCTCTCGTCTCATGCCCTCTCTTCTCATGCCCTCTCGTCTCATGCCCTCTCTTCTCATGCCCTCTCTTCTCATGTCCTCTTGTCTCATGCCCTCTCTTCTCATGCCCTCTCTTCTCATGCCCTCTCTTCTCATGCCGCTTCTCGCCATCCAGACATTTACAACAGTAAGTGCGCTGTCTCCTGTTGGTTGAAATTTCTGTTTCATGTCTCTCCACTTCATCCCGCAATGGCAGGCTCGTCAATATGACTTCTCTAGGTTATTCAGTAGTTACTAATAACTCTAAAATCTATGGAAGCATCTAGTTATGCTGCTGTCTGACAGGATTATCACACGTCTTTGATTTCTCAGATTAAAAGAAACCTCTGCGCACAAAGATAGGAAATCTCTGACCTGCTGTGGGTTGTATTACCCTGCAGGAAGTATTAGTTAGTAGGGCTGAGTTGAAGTGTTTTTATGTACTAATGCTTTTAATTGTGCCTGATTTTAGTAGCTGCAGCACCCTTACTTCCTGCGTCACAAACAGCAACAATGTAATCGTCACTTTGTTGTAGTAAGATACATCTCTAGGATGCGCTGGGACGTATCATCATTGATGTTCCTGCATGGATCAATGGGGTTTTCGGGTCTTTCAACATCAGACCCCCTTACTAAGGTGACCCATCCTGGGTTGCTCAATTCCCGCATTGCATCCCAGCAGCAGCAATCCATGGGCTCGCCCTCTTTTTTTTTGTGATCAACTTTTAAATTTCCTTTTATAACAGACAGAGTTACAACAATCATAAAAATACAGACAAAAAGTAAGAAGACAAAAAAGTGAAACATAAACCCTGTGGCGTTCCCTCCCTCCCCACCCCATAGGTCTCTATTATAAATAAATACTGTGTGCAGGGAAAACAGATTCCAGAGCATAGATAAAAAATAGAATAATAATATAGCGCTTACAGCAGTTTGTTAATTCTTTCTAACATCGATTCCCATGCTGAGATGGTGACAGCTGCAGCACCATGCACTCTTGCCACTGACAGCTCCACACCAATGATATCAATATATGTGTTAATCCACTGTTTTTTTGTGACTGCGTGTGGGGGTTTCCAGCGTAAAGCCAACATCTTTTTGGCTGCAGTGATGCCTGTTAAAAGAATACGTGTATTTATACATGTTAATTTTAATGAGATTGTATCATTCAGGAGCAGCAGAGCGGGAGAGCATCGCACAGGTACACCCAGTACATCAGATAGAATATCACAAACCTCACCCCAAAATGATTTAACATCCCTGCATTCCCAATACATGTGCATGTAGGAACCTGTGAGTCCTTCTGTGCACAATGTGCAGTTTGGGGATGACAGTCGTTTCATGAGATAAGCCTTTCTTGAAGTTAGATACGTCCTATGAGTGTAATTGAAATGAATCAGTTGGTGATCAGGGTTCCTTGAGGCAATAACAATCGAGGACCATATCCTCTTCCAGTCAGGCTTAATCTCCCCAGCATATTGTTTCAAGTCGCCAGCCCATACCCGTGCAATAGACAACTCTTTATAGGAAGTTGTCCGGAAGAGTGAGTATATCTGAGAAACCACACCTTTATTCTGCCCATTTGGGGCAAAGATGGAATGCAAAGGATGCCTGGTAAGTGGAGAGTTCCAAGGTACTTCATATGCTTTCATGGATGCACGCAGTTGGAGGTAGAAGAAAAACGATGAGTTTGGTAAATTAAATGACAGTCTTAAATCATCAAAATTCCGAAGCCCACTGTCGTTATGAGTGTCAGCAAACCTATGTACCCCTTTGGTTTTCCAAGATGGGTATGAGAATGGTACCCCCCCCAGTGAGAAGAGAGTAATTATAAAAAATTGGGGTGTTAAGATGCCATCCACACGTAGTATTCGATTCTTTCTCAGCAAGGCGCCATATTGATAATAGGAAACTCATTATGGGTCCAAGATGTAGTTTTGCTCATTTCAAAGGGACAGCAGAGTAAATCAGATCTTCTAGTCTATGAGGGGATGCTAAATTGCTCTCTATCGGTTTCCAACAGGTTTATTAAGCCAAACTGATATTGGTCTCAGAATAAATGACCAAAAATAATGTTTAAAATTAGGGACTGAAAGACCACCTTCCAATTTATGGCGCTGAAGAGTTGTTAACTTTATGCGTGGTCGTTTCCCTCTCAAGGTACCTTGGGTCAAGGTATGAATTCTATCCCAATAATCAGCTGGGGGCGACAAAGGAATCATGGACGAAAAGAAATTTATCCGTGGTAGTATATCCATCTTAATTATTGATACACGAGCTTGTAAAGAGTTTGGTAGATAGGCCCATCTTTCAAGGTCTGATTCAATTTTACTATAAATTCCTTGAAAGTTCTTATTTGCAATATTAATTAGTTAGGGGAAAATATCGACCCCCACGTACTTAAATTGTTTGACAACTGGAATATGTTGGGGTAGAGTACTGGAATCTAGATCTGAATTCAATGGGAAAAGAGCTGATTTTGTCCAATTGATTTTATAACCAGACAGGGAACTAAATTCATTAAAAGTATCCAAAATATGAGGTAGTGAAGTAGGCGCCCTATCGAAATACAACAATATGTCATCAGCATACAACGAAACGGAATGAACAGTGTTATTGAAAGTGATAGGAGTTATAGAAGGGTGTTTCCGAACCTTCTGAGCGAGGGGTTCTAGTGACAGAGCGAATAAAAAAGGACTTAAAGGACAGCCTTGTCTACAGGACCGTGATAAGGACAATTTGGTTGAAATAATGCCATTAGTGCTAACCATTGCAGTGGGGTTATTATATAATAACTTAATTAAATTAATGAAATTACAGCCCAATTGAAAACGCTGCAAGACCTCCCATAAATATCCCCATTCTAGTCTATCAAAGGCGTTTTCTGCATCAAGGCTCAATACAGCACATGGGGAAGGTATGTCTTTGGCAGTATGAATTACATTAAGTAGTCTGCGCAGATTATCAGAAGCAAGCCGAGTATTCATGAAGCCTGTTTGGTCACAATGAATTAATTTTGTCATGTGGGGCTCTAAG